GTCGATCCGGGTTCCGCTGTTAGCATCATGCCACTTCGATTGATGTACCACCTCGGAATTCCCGCTAACAAGTTAGCCTCTACAGGAACGGTTATCTATGGTTTCAACACAAGCGGGTCACGACCGTTGGGAAAAATCCGGGTGAAGTGTCAACTCGGAGATCTGAAGTCTGAAGTCACCTGCTATGTGATCGATGCAGAGACTTCTTATAACTTACTGTTGGGTCGTCCATGGATCCACGGTAATCTTATAGTTCCCTTTACCCTCCATCAATGTTTGAAGTATGTCGACATTAATGAGGAGGTCAAGACGGTGGTCGCGGATAAGCAACCGTTCAAGGGGTTAGAAAATTACTTTACTGACTCCCTTCTTTATGGTGCTGAGTCCGATACTGAACCATCGGCCCATGGCACGGACAGCGGAGAAGAAGCTGATACCGAAGCCGGGCTCGATTATAGTGAAGGTCTTGTACTAAATGACATTGAACCTCTTGTAATCGATCTTGACGGTGATGAATCGTCGGACGAAAGTTGTAACTGGCAGCTTGCCGATGAAATAATAAATCATGATTTAGAGTACTCACGTTGTCTTAATGATGTAATGCAGAAATTGTATGACAACCCTAGTCTACATATGCCACTTCGTTCGTCTTGTACGACGACGAAACATCTCCAGACTTCATTCGGAACAACTGTAATACTACCCGCGAAGACATGGGGTGAAAAAGAGATAGTCTTTGGAAAAGGGGAACCATCCCCTACCCCAGATCATTTCTTGAACATTAATTCGGATGAAGAAGAACCCGGGCGACATTTCTCTCGGTATAGTTCACAAGCGAATGATTATATGACGAACCAGGGTTATGACCTCTCACTTGGTGAAGGTCTTTATTTTCAGTTCACAAGCGAATGATTATATGACGAACCAGGGTTATGACCTCTCACTTGGTGAAGGTCTTTATTTTGGTCAAGGTATTAGGGTTCCACCCCGTCCTGCCTATGTACCAAAAGGAAAACCAGATAATTATTACAGTCGTAATAGGGGTCTGGGTTATGCTTCATCATCCGATGACAATTATGGCCATCAGATCATTAATCAATTAATAGATAGGAGCGGAGCATTTTCCAGAGAGATTAGAGCAGAGAGCCTTGAGTTTTGGTGAATTAGAGCAAGAGAGAGAGTCTTCCTTCTTCACAAACATCCTCAAGAAGCTTCTGGCGATTCCTAGAGATCTAAGCTCAGACTTGATCTTTGGAAGAGTGAACATCTTACATCGATAAGATATTCGCTTCAAATTCTTACTTCGATAAACGAAGGAAGAATCATTAAACCCCTCACGGTTCAATCAGAATCTGTGATTCGGTGGTCCACGAGTCAAAGCGCTCCCGACACAGGCAAAGATCCCACGCAAGCAGCGATCCAAACAACGATCCTGCGTTTGTTTCTAAAAAGTTGTAATTTTCATTTTGTTGTGTAAAAGAAGTCTTATAAAAAGGCCATTTCTTTTGAATTTATTGTAATCGACCGAAGATATAATGAATTCCACAACGAGACCAACTTTTGACGCAAACAGTGCACAACATTTCATGCACAGTCACTTAGATTAAACAGAAAACATCGGCTTTATAAAAATGAATTGGACGGAGAATATAACATGTATATAAATAGGCACATGCGCATTACTGATATCCTGAGTTATATATATACAAGGGCCAACTGGCCAATACTTGACTTGAAGCCGTGTTCTCGGGATGGTTTACGAGGAACCGATTTATATACATAAAAATATTCTTCTCTAATTTAAATAACGTCTAAAATAATAATAATACACTTGTGTGATCGGTGATGAACATTATCTTGATCTCCATGATTAGCAGTTTTCTTTTATCCCTGGTAATTTAGAATTCATCTTTTCTTTATATCTGCTACATATACTTACACGTGCATAATTTCTTTATTTTATATGCTTGTTAGGAGTTTTCTAACTCCCATGGGGTTTGCGTTCCCCAGACTCGGGGACTGTTCTTTCTTCGCAGGACCGAGAGTATTTTGAGGAGCAGGCTCAGCGGCAATGATCACCGTTCATTTTATCAGTTCTCCGGTTTAGTTGTTTTAGGTAGTTATTTGGTTTATGCTTTATCTTGAGTCACATGTGACTTTTCTAGACTATGATGTAAAAAATTTCTTGACTCTTTTCCATGGTGGATAGTTGTGAACTCGTATTCGAACTCTGTTCTTTTGGAGATTTCTTCATCTATATATTTCTTTTATTATCTTGGTTACATGCTCTATGGTGTAGTTTTGGCTTTATATTGATATTTGTCGTCCCAATCTCGCTTATTGGTTTTCACCAATTTTGCCAGAATTTTGATGATGGTCTTGTTAAAATCTTCAGCCAATCCATTGGCTGTAGGATTATAAGCAGTCGACGAAACGTCCTTAATCCCGAATTTACCGCAGAATTTGATAAATGCGTTACTCACGAACTGAGGACCGTTGTCGTGCACTATTCGCCTTGGCATACCATACCGATATATGATGTGGTGTTTAATAAATTTGATGACATTAGTCGTCTTTACTTCTCTAAGTGGAACTGCTTCTGCCCATTTCGAGAAATAATCGGTGATTGCCAGAATGAAACGGTCCCCTTTAACCGAAGGTGGAAAAATAGGACCTACAATGTCCATTCCCCATGTCTCAAACGGCCACGATGTCGCCGAAGGATGTAGATATTCAGGGGGTATGTGCATATAATTTGCATGCAATTGACACACTTCACATTGTCGTGCGTAATCGACTGCGTCTTTCACCATAGTTGGCCAATAATATCCGATTCTCCTAAGTCGGTCACAGAGTTTAGGACCGGGCTGATGTGCACCACATATCCCATTATGTGCCTCTTTTAGTGCTTGTTCCGCTTCTTTACTGGATAGACAACGAAGTAAAATACCATCATAAGCTCGTCGATACAACGTTTGCGATGTGGCATTGTAATAAAATCTCGGTGCTCTATGGTGTAGTTTTGGCTTTATATTGATATACAGGATGATCCAGAGGCGTGAATGTGACTGTATGGTTACATTGTCGGCCGAGTCACATTCCAAACTATTATGTTTTGGAACTGGGGCGTGACAAGGTTTTTAATGGTATCAGAGCCAGGGTTTAGGAATTGCTGTCTTGTCTTGTATACAAGTAAAAACTAAGATTGAGCCAAAAATAGAGCATGTATAGAAAGAGTTCTTTCCTTTTCAGAAATACGTCCTTTTTAATCCTAATACCCTGATTCTCAAGTCCTAATCTTTTCCAATCTCATTTCAGGTGATCACTATAGCCCCAAAATATCGACACCCTACTCAAGTTGTCCTTAAGAGACGCCAAGTAGACCAAGCTGATCTTGCAGACGCGATTACGGAGCTGGTAGCTCATAATCGTCCGAGGGATGGGCAACAGCCGATTACAAGGCCTGGTAATGTGTCTGATTTTCAGAAGCTTAACCTACAACACTTTGCTCGGGCTGAAGTCAGATATGAGGCCGAGATGTGGTTGCAAACCATAGACCGCTTATTGAGGGCAACAAAGATACTAGATGAAGACCGAGTTGATATTGTACAGCTACAGCTCGTTAATGTAACCAGGACCTGGTGCGATGCAGAGGAGGAGAAGCTACCCAACCCAATTTCATGGGAGACATTCCGGGAGAGTTTCATAGAGATATTTTTCCCGAAGACAGCTCGTCTTGAGATGCAGAGACAGTTTGTAATGCTGAGACAGAGAGCTAGTACTGTATATGAGTATGTAGCAAAATTTGCCAAGCTCAGCAGGTTTGCCCCAAGGATGGTATCGCATGAGGTGGATAAGGGACAAAGGTTCATGCAGGGTATAAATTTTGAGATCCAAACTCATGTTTATAGTCAGAAGGGGACCGAGACTTATGTGGATATCTTAGAGGCAGCTCGAAAGGCAGAACAGCTGGTTGGGATCATGAACTCGGTGAGAAGAGGGGAAAACAAGCACCCTACAGGACAAATCTCAAGAGGTAACCAACAGAAGCCTCAGATGGGAGGAGCACCAGCTAAGCGCTAGCAGACAAAGACCCCGAGACCAGCTCCACAACCAACCAACATGATTTGCCATTTCTGCAGCAAGCTAGGACACTTGATGATGGACTGCCGAAGAGCTAACAGATTGTGCCTAGCATGCGGGGTGCTGGATCATCAGGTCACTGCTTGTCCTAGTAGAGGAGTTTCAGGAGGAACTTCAGGTAAAGCGATAGTGCTAGCAGGCCAGACTAGACAGGATGGACCACAGTTGAGGCCATCACTTCCCACGCAGCAGCAGATGTTTCGAGGACATCAGAGGGGTCAACAATTTCAAGGCAAGAGACAGTGGAGATGTCCTCATTTTCAGCACCCATATCAGCCACCTTATCAGTAGAGGCACCCAGGGAAATACGGTCAGCAAGCTCAGCAGCAGCAGAGACAAAGGTCGGGCTATGACACTTACCGCCAAGCAGGCTGATGCATCTGGTGATGTAGTCACAAGTATCATTTTGGTTTATTTAGTCACAAATTGTACTTTTCCCGACGCTTATTCCCGACGCATGGTTAAATACGTCGGCAAAAATTATGTTTTTCCCGACACTTTTAGTTAGCGTCGGCAAAAAATATATTTTCCCCAACGTTTATAATTAGCGTCGCTAAAAATGTATATTATTAGCGACGTTTTAACTTAGCGTCGGTAAAAGTTATGGATTTCCCGATGATTTTTTATTTTCGTCGGTAAAAGTATAGCTTTTTAGCGACGTTTTAGGATTAACGTCGCTAATAGTATGTATTTATCATGACGTATTAGACTAACGTCGCTAAAAATATTCTTTTCTCAACGTATTTACTTGCCGTGGCTAAAAGTTATATTTTTAATGACGCTTCTTTATTTATCCGCGTTGACAAAACAACCCCCCCACCCCCCAAGTTTTCCACACTCGTACAAGGGAGGGAAAATCCCCCCCTTTTAATTTCACGAAGAGACAAAACCCCCAACCCCGCTCTCTCTCATCAGAAAATCGCCCCCAAACCCTTGCTTCTTCTCTGAAGTTCGCCGCCTTCATCGAAGCTCACCGTTGCCATCGTCGGAGATCTCCGCCTCTGTCGAATTTCACCGCCGCCTCCGTCGGACCAGCAACATTAGCTTCAAGAATCCCCGCCGTCTTCTCCTCCTCCATCCGATCAAACCCCCACCGATCTCACCTCCGACTCCCTTCAAGAATCTCCCTCCACCGTTCGATCTCGCTCTGAACCCGAACGCTAACCCTAGCCTCCGCCACAGGCTCCGATCAAGCTCCGATGGTATTTATACTATTCTCTTTTTAATTCGTTAAATTAGAGGCGTTCTATAAATAAATTGCTATTTTTAATATATCACAGGGCTCGCAATCTCAATCATTCTTTAGATCGGCGCTCTCGAGCATGGAGAAAGTTTACTTGACTAGGAATCCGACTGCAAAATCTGTTCTTGAATCTGTGAGCTCGTCTGATGGCAGTCCTGTGTGTTACGATCACTTCGCTTTCCGAACATTTGGGGTAAATGATGCAATTTTGTTTTTTTTCCCGCTTGATTCTATTACTGTTATACTATGTATTTTTTTTCTAAATTTTGAAGGTAGATGGCCATGGGATTGATTCCATTGCGTCATTCTTCTTGGATTTTGGTTATACTCAACGAGATGAACTAAGGTTTCCAGCAAAAAAGCTGAGAGCTTTGTGGTTTGCTCCTCCTGAGACTGAGTACAGTAACAAATGTAGCTTGCCTTTGCCTAGGATTTTTATATCGGAGCTTCTTGTGGATGAGTTGAATTCTCAAAGTCAGGTACTTACTCTCAACAAGTGCAGATTGTTTGCAATTTCAGTTTCTAATTTCCTATTTTTCTGTTCAATAATGGAAATTACTTATGCATGTAGGAAATAATTAGAAAATATGTTAAGATTTCTGGAAATGGAAATAAATATGCGGCTTTGGCAAGCACTTTGGGACATTTAACTTGGGAGAAACCAATATTTTCTGATTATCAACAGCTAGCAAGGTTTGGCAAGCACTTTGGGACATTTAACTTGGGAGAAACCAATATTTTCTGATTATCAACAGCTAGCAAGGTAACCCTTCCCACAGTCATCTTGTATTTGGGGAGAAACCAATATTTTCTGATTATCAACAGCTAGCAAGGTAACCCTTCCCACAGTCATCTTGTATTTGTTGGGTGATTACGAAGCAGATTGGTTCTGTAATTAGTGTACCTGTATGCTTGCGGATATTAACCAGTATGCTGAATAAAGTCAGATGATATTATTGTGAGTACTGATACACATTGTTAGCCAGCAACTTAATAACTCAAGCTTTTTAGGTGAAATGATTTCTAGATATATGAGCACTATTTCTAGATATCTGAGCACTAGAATAAGATGTCCATTTTTAAATCTAGATTTAACCGTATTTTAAGAATGATCATGTCTATTTGTGTATTGTCATTAATTGTTACTTGTAATTACTTGTCCTTGCCATTACTTATTATTATTTGTTATTAATTTTTTTCATTATGTGTACTAATAATTCATTTTATTCAATTGTAACAGGTAACACGTATGGCTCCAGGACGCAGGTCCGAAAATGTCATACAATCGACTTCTGTGTCCGAGTCTGTGCCCGAGTTTGTGCCCGAGAGGAGGATCTTGGTTGCTTCGAACCAGCCACCCTAGTGTACCCATAACGAGCTACCCCACCCCGAGCCATCATCCATTGCCCAGCCCGACCAACTAGAAAGCCCTCAAACGATCGGGAGCAGCGTAGGTAATGTTAGATTATCTACCCGTCACAATTTAAGTGTTATTCAATTGTTGGAAATTTAAAGTATTATCAATAAATATTATGGCTATATGTTTCTAACGATGCTCCAAGTTTTTCAGGACTTCTTAGTGGAGCTTAATCTGTCATTAAGCCTTCGGTGATTTTTGTAAGGTAGGAATTATTTTTGGCATTAATAGCACACTCCTTTGATATAAAGTAAAGATATTTTTATACAACTTGTTAAGGATTGCTGCGAGTCAAGTGAGAAAGTAGTGAAGTGTTTGTGATTTGTTGAGAAAGTAGTGAAGTGTTTGTGATTTGTTAAGTGAGAGTTTTAATTTTGCCCATGATGAATTGCTAGGTGTGTTCATTGTTAATAATTTAATTCGGGTGTTTAATTAACTTCTACAAAGTTTTAATCTGTGTGCGTGCAAGTAGTGAAGTGGTAGCAGCATAACTACTTGTTAATTGTCTGCAACCTCAATACCTTACAAAAAAATAGTTCAACCTAAATATGATCAAAATTCGGGTATTATACATATATTCTATTGTCTTATTTAGTTTAATAATCGTGTTTTTGTAGGATCTGTACCATCGGCCCGTATAAATGTACGCGGTGCAACACGAGGGAAGGGGATAGAGAGATTGGTGAGACAATTCTTGAAACTCGTTGGACGTAAGCTGGGTTCATTTTAATCCTTACCCAATTCAGAACAATGGTTATAAATGGTAATTTTGGTTTCAAGTTAAAAAACCAGCAATTTTTTAATTTACAGATCTGTATATATTATTAAAAAACCAGAAATTTTATTGCTGTGTGTTTAGATCCCTCCATTTCTGGCCATTGGCTTAGGAAACAATACCCACTATTGGTTCATATCAATTTGTTATATTGTCATGTCAACACCATTTGGTAGTTGGGTCGAGCTGTCAATTGTCAAGTACTCAACTTTCATGCACATTGATTGGTTCTTTACTACAATGCCAGGTACTGAGATTCTTAGCCATGATTCCCTAGTTTACTAGTAAACCTAATTATCATATGTTCCCCTATTTCTCAAGTGTGAAACTTCTGCAAAACAGTTTTGCAATTTAGTAGTTTGCAGATGTATATTTCATAAATAGATAAAATCCCTTTACATTTTTTGGCACTTCTTAAGTTTAGCTTGCAGAGAATCTACAAAATTGGATTTTAGTGTTTTTTGTCACACTTGCAGATGAATCATTTCATGGAGTTAACAATGAACTACGGGAGCTTCCACTTGTTGAGCTATCCACTCTCCCTTTGATATTAAAGGTGATCTTCATAATAATCTACAATTGCAAGATATGATCATATCCAGTATGTTGCTTCCTGATTTATTTTAATAAAATTTTAGTCTAATTTATATTAAGACCGATGTTTACTGAACTGATCTTTTATCATTGCCTATATCTGTGCTTGCTATGTATTGCCTGATAAAATTGATACTTCCAGTTCTTAACAGAGGTACAATATTTGCAAATTTAAATTGAGTTTAAAGAGTTACAGTTCTTCCATAGCTATCTCACAGATATCCCTTAATTTACCATGCCAATAGTATTTTTTGCTTTTCTATTGTCTAATTCAATAGTTCAATATCTAGTAATGAAGCTGGTTAGTCTAGTGCCAATTAGGTTCCTACATTAACCTTAGATGTTGCATTTTTTAGTTCATTACAGGCCAAGCAGTTGAAAAATGACGATCATGAGCTATCTTGTGTATCTAATATTTGTTTATTTTCACAAGCTATTGTTCTGAGTATGGCTTCTTGCTTTCCTGTGCCTTCCTTTCTCTTCTTTGTCTTCCTATTCATCTTTTCCTTACTGTATTCCTCTTTGCCTCACAGCAAATTATCTCAAGCTTGAACCCCCATTTCATTTTCTTTTCTCTTATTCCTGTTCTTACTCTTTGTGTTTTTCTCTCTAAACATCTGATTCAGTGATACTATGTAGAAAACATTTTTATATGTTACCACAATAAATAGCAAAATTTATTGTACATATAGCTTGTATATATTATCTATACATCTACAACCACGCCATAGCGCGTGCCCACAAACCCTACATGGACATAATATATTCAAGCACAAGCATGCACATGCCTGTATGGAAGTGCATTTATTAAATTTATGTACAGTGACAAAAGGGATGGGATCACTGGCAATTGCCCCTTCAGTCCTAACAAATTTTTTTATTTACATTACTCTTAATCAGACTTTCCTGAATTCTTCTCCTTTGCTTCTTTGACCTTTTTCCATTTGATATTCTCATTGGCCTTTTTCCATTGCGTCATTCCTCTGCTTCATTTTATTTAAAGTCATTTCTTTATAGTTCCTTGAAGTTTCCTGCTTGATTTCTTCTTGTTATCATGTTATAGGTATGTTCTGTTTCCTATATGTTATTTTTCATTCCTCAACGTGGTCTAGTATTTTTAAGATTTGCTATTATGTGATTGCTCTCAAGCTAATAAAGAACGAATGTTGAAGAAGAAAATACTAGTTGGAGATGGATGGGTTAAAGAGTCTGTAATTTTCTTTTTGCGTAATTTTCAAATGCCTCTAGTCTCTGTCTGCATGATCTTTGCTATGATTTTGCTTGAAAATCTTGCTTCTGTTTTAAACTTTATAGAAGACTGTTTAATCAAAGAACTGATATCTCTAACATCTCTAACAGGAAATAATCAAAGAACTGATGGAAAGACTACCACACATGAAAGAGCTTATGGATATGTATTGTGGCCCTGATAGAGTGATTGCAAAGTAACAAATGCAGGAGTTAGACAGAGTCGCAAAAACTCTATCAGAGAATATACCTTCATCTGTGAAGAGGTTCACTGATCGTGCCGTTCTTTCACTTCAAGTTTTCTTTTTTTCAACTAAGTTTAGTTTCCTGTAAATCTTATAATGTGTCATTCTCTGAAATGGAAAACACTGAATATGAAAAACTAGAATATTTAAACAGGCCTTTGAGCGTTGACTTGGAAATAGAAATGAATGTAATTATTTTGCAATGGGAGCAAATTCTTTGTTTATCATAATATGCAATTTGTTTGGAGTATAATTTGATGTTTGGTTTCTTTGTTGATGTGAATGGGAGTAAATTTTTTGTGGATGTTCAGGTTCAGTGTAGGCTTATAGTTGACAGAAAAGATATTATTTTTGGCAATGTAAATTAGTGTTGACAAAATTATACTTTTTACCGTTGTCAAAAATTATACTTTTGCCGACGCTATCTTGTGTCGGCAAAAGTATAGCTTTTAGCGACGCTAGCTTGCGTTGCCAAAAGTATAGCTTTTAGCGACGCTTCACTCTGCGTCGCTAAAAACTGCACTTTTGCCGACGCTATCTTGCATCGGCAAAAGTATAGCTTTTAGCGACGTAGAGTTAAGCGTCGCTAAAAGCTATACTTTTGGCGACGCAAGATAGCGTCGCTAAAAGCTATACTTTTGCCGACGCATAGCTTTTGCCAATGCTGCATGCGTCGCCAAAAATACACTTTTGCCAACGTAAAATATTATGCGCCACTAAAAGATATACTTTTTCCGACGCATGACGTATCGCCAAAAGTGTACTTTTGGCGACGCAGTGTATTTGCGTCGCCAAATACTTTCCTTGACGCACTTTTGGCGACGCGTTAGCGACGCTGCATTTTGCGTCAAGAAAGATTTTTCCCGACGTTTTTTAAACTTTTGCCGATATTTTTGTTTCGTCGGTAATGTTGTATTTTGTTGTAGTGGTTTTGGTGATACCATTCGGAGTGACAAATGTTCTATCTACATTTATGAGCTTGATGAACAAGGTATTTTCTCAGTATCTCGACCAGTTTGTGGTGGTGTTCATCGATGACATTCTTATATACTCTAAGACCAAGGAAGATCACGCAGAGCATCTATGGATGGTGTTGGAAATCCTGCAGAAGGAGAAGCTCTATGGAAAATTAAACAAGTGTGAGTTTTGGCTAGAGCAAGTGTCCTTTCTGGGGCACATAATTTCAGGAGCGGGTATCTCTGTGGACTGGAAGAAGGTTGAGGCGGTGTTGGGATTGGATCCACCTACATCTGTGATAGAAGTACGAAGTTTCTTAGGGATGGTTGGATACTACAGGAAATTTATAAAGGATTTTGCTAAAATTGCAGGACCACTTACTAGGCTGGCTCGGAAGGAGGTCAAGTTTGTGGGGACTCAGGACTATCAAGCAGCATTTAAGGAGTTGAAGAACAAGTTGACGACAGCACCAATTTTGACAATTCCAAATGAGTCAGGAGGATTTGTAGTGCACACGGATGCTTCTGATTTGGGTTTAGGTTGTGTTCTGATGCAACATGGAAGGTAGTAGCTTATGCATCTAAACAGCTAAAAACACATGAGAGGAACTACCCAGTTCATGATTTGGAATTAGCGACGGTTATTCTTGCATTAAAGCTATGGCGACACTATCTTTTAGGGCAAAGAGTGGAGGTGTACACATATCACAAAATTTTAAAGTATATCTTCACTCAGAAGGAGCTCAACATGAGATAGCGCATATGGTTAGAGCTTATGGCAGATTATGATTTTGATTTACAATATCATCCAGGACGAGTTAATGTAGTGCCAAATCATTTGAGCCGGGAGCCTGTGGCGATGAGACTCACCAGACAGCGGGAGTTGCTAGCTAAGTTCTGGAGGATGAACGTGAAGATTATATTGCCTGGAGCAGGGAGACAGTTGATGAGTTTGCAGTTACAGTCAACCCTGGTGGACCGGATCAAGGCTACCCAGTTCGTGGATGCTCAATACCAAAAATTTAAGAAACATGTAGAGTCTGGGGAGAGAATTGATCTACAAATACATGAGGATGGATCCTTGTGATTCCAGGTTATGTGTGATACGAGTTGCCGGACGAGCACCCTTGATCGTAGAATTATCAAGAATGGGTTGAGAAGAAGACGATAGAAAACACAAGAACAATTCAGTTTTGGCGAAGGAAAATACCTTCTCTAGATTATGAGATTAATAGATTACAAATACCTCTCTCACAATCTCTCTAGAATCAAGAACAATCTCCCAATTCTCTCTAAACCCTAATCTCTTGGTTAGGATCTCACCTCTCTGATTTCTCTGATTGTTTAGAACCCTAAAACAATCATCTTTATAGAGTTTAGGTTAGGATCTCACCTCTCTGATTTCTCTGATTGTTTAGAACCCTAAAACAATCATCTTTATAGAGTTTATAATGTGGATGGCAAAATTATAATTAAACAAACCAAAACCAAACAAGAAAACAGAGTCCCAAACGAACCAGGAAGTCTCAGGAAACCATCACGGTCGACCGCAGAGACCATCGCGGTTGACCGGATCCAACGATAGAAACCAAAACCCGTTACAGGGTTTGGCCAGTCGACCGCACACATCGCTAAGGTCGACCGTACACATCGCTACGGTCGATCGCCAAAAGTTCAGAGGCCTCCCAGGATTTGTGCACGTTCGCGGTCGACCGTGGCGTCACGTGCTGTTGACCACTGGAAGCTCAAAATGTTTCCTACAGTTTCTTCCATAATCTTCACCTTTGCCGCCTTCAACGACTTCGTCCACGTTTCTATTCTCAAGATATTATGAGAAACATCTATCCTCAAACTCTCATGAGGATCGCTAAGCTCTCGAAGCAAGAAAGAAGATACACCCATATCATGGCTTTCCCTTTAGGAACTTGAAGTTCCATTCAAGTTATAACTGTAGCAGAGGGAACTCGCGAACCCCTTCTTCTTTTTTGAACCACTTGGCCTTGCTAGGAATCTGGTCTCAACGTCTGATCGAAAATAACTCCTTCGTCCCGCGTCTCGTCGTAGTCACCTTCCTTTTTAAATTACAACCCTCTTTCAGTGGCTCCTCATAAGAACTAATGCATAACGCAACAAACTTCTTGCTTACATTCACTAGCCTCTTCACCTAGTTCACCGTCACCAAGTTTGTCTTCTTCGGAAGAGACGCCGAACAAAATATGAACTTTTCACCATCTTTGGTGAATGTGTACTTCTGAGCTCGCCTCTTGTAGATCGCGTATCTATTCCACAAATAAGGATTGCCCAGTATAACCTGACAAACATCCAATGGAACTACGTCACACGTGACCTCATTAATATACGACTCATGGAGCGTAAATTTAAAAGTGCATTGATTAACTATACTCTGTCCCGTCTTCTTCTGAATCCATCCTAATGGATAGGCCTTTGGACGATTGACTGTCTTCAGACCCAGCTTCTGAACCAAGACCTCGGATATTAAATTCTTCTCGCTACCTGGATCAACTATGACATCTATCAAATTGGTCTTCACCTGTAACTTAAGAACAAAGAGCTGCTCTCTAGGGCCGTCGTTCTCTTTTGTGGCTTTTTTCTCTCTCATAAGGTTGAGACTATTGTTGGGCTCTGTCATCCCTGGAACTTCTTTCGAAACTTAAGCTATCACGTATGCCCTTTTCTCCTTCTTCTTCTTCAATCCCCTTGGCTTGAGATGATGATACTTCTCCCAGCACCGATCAGCTACGTGTCCTGTCTTTTCGCAATAACTACAAATCAACCCTGCTTTTTCTGGGTCACCTTCTTCTTCTCCTCATTAAATAGAGAACCACTAGACTCGCCTCCAACTTGTTTAGCCTCTCTCTTTGCCTCGTTGCTCCTCTTTTGCTTGCCTTCGATGGCAATAGCCTTCACGCTTGCCACTGCAATAGATTCCATCGTGAATAACTTCATCTCCTTCCGGATGTAATCACTCAATCCCACCATATACTTCATAAACACAGAATATTCCTTCGTCGCAATGTTGAGGACCATCGCCTGCTGCTGGAACTCCATGGTGTTTTCTTGAACGGTTTGATTGACTCTTTGGCGCAAGCTGTACCACTTGTACCAACGCTCCTCAAGGAATCCCACTGGGTAGAACTGCTTTCTCAGTAGCTCATTGAATTTGTTCCACATCATCGTATTCCTTTCCTGCTTGTAATAGGATTTCCACCATGTCAATGCATACCCCGAAAGCTTCAAAGTCACGAACACGAGTTTCTCCTTAGATGGATATCTTTAGAGGGTAAAATATGTCTCCATCCGTTCGATCCAATCGTCAAGCCTCTCAATGTTGACACTCCCATCATAAATATGAATCTCCATCTTAAAGTTTATTTTTAAATTCTGGTAAGAACCCTTACCCCCTTGATGCGGAACAGTCTTGACATTCTCGGCCTCCCTATCAGAATTAGATTCCTCGCCCTCCCCATTAGACTCTACAAGTTTCTTCTTGCCTTTCGAAGAAGATTCCTCTTTTTTGTCCTTTCCTTGAAAAAGATTAACAAGCTGTGTGAGAGTCGAACCCATTGTCTCTATCTGTTTCTCCAATGCATCAAGTCTCGTCGAACTACCCCTTCAGTCATCTTCTTCTTTCTTAATCTCTGAACTCCTTCCAAAGAAATAAGGATCTCGCCAAGCTTCTTGTATTGTCATCGAGTAAGGACCATATACAGGATTCCCCTCCACAGGATCTAATCGCTCTGATACCAACTTGATACGAGTTGCCGGACGAGCACCCTTGATCACAGAATTATCAAGAGTGGGTTGAGAAGAAAACGATAGAAAACACAAGAACAATCCAGTTTTAGTGAAGGAAAATACCTTCTATAGGTTATGAGAATAATAGATTACAAATCCCTCTCTCACAATCCCTCTAGAATCAAGAATAATCTCCCAATTCTCTCTAAACCCTAATCTCTTGGTTAGAATCTCACCTCTCTGATTTCTCTGATTGTTTAGAACCCTAAAACAATCCTCTTTATAGAGTTTACAATGTGAATGACAAACTTATAATTAAATAAATCAAAATCAAACAGGAAAACAAAGTCCCAAACGAACCAGGAAGGCTCAGGAAACCGTTATGGTCGACCGTAGAGACCATCACGGTCGACCGGATCTAACGATAAAAACCAAAACCTATTACAGGGTTTGGTCGGTCGACCGTACACATAGCTACGGTTGACCACCAAAAGTCCAGAGGCCTCCCAAGATTTGTG